ATAATAAATTATGTTGGTAGTATTCATTACTGACTAAATAAAATTGCTGGAATTTGTACAGCCACCGTGGTATCTGTTAATAAGCATAATGTCTTCATTCAGATGGATCCCAATATAATCTGGTATTTCACGACTGTTTGCAGGGTAACTCTGCCTTGCCTGCCTGCCTAGACCAACTACATTTCAAACACTTCCTGATATATTCATTCCTTCAACAAGATGCACCACCTAGAAACTCCAAGTTAACTGACAGCAGTGATGGCCTCAAATGCATTTGATGTACTGACTGCTGGTCGGGTGGCAGTAATTTTATTATTATTATTATTATTATTATTATTATTTGTTTGAGACAAGGTCTTACTACGTAGTTCAGATTAACCTTGAACCATGCAGCCCAACATGCTGTCTTCAAACTCACAGTGATCCTCCTACCTCTGGCTCTCAAGTGATGAGATTACAAGCATACACCACCAAGCCTGGCAGTAATTTATTCCTGATATTTTTGGTCACACTAACAAAGATTCCCTGGGTTGTGCCCAACTTCTGCTGCCACAAAGATAAAAGCAACCTCCATATAACTATCCTTGTATGTTTCCTTGTCTCCTAAACTTACTATTCCTCCATGAGAGAAAATAAGAGGAGATATACTTTGATTTCTGCTACACTGCAGTTATTGGATCTTTCTTCAGAGGTCCAATAATTCCTCACCATACAGATATCCACCTACAGTGAAAAGACAGGACCAGGAGATCACAACACGTACACAGTTAAAAGAAAAAAATATGTGTGGGGACTGTTTACTTTCTCTTCTAAAAAAATGAAAATAAAATCTAACCCCACAAGCGCCTTCTGAATTTAGTTTGCAATACATTAAAGGCAAAAAGGTGAGAAACACAGTAACACAAACATACCACATGATAGCAACAAACATTGAGTGTTAAAGGACTGAAGAATTGGGGCTGGGGAGATGGCTCAGTGGAATAAGCGTTTCCCTGGCAAGCGCAAGGGCCTGAGTTCAATCCCCGGTTCCAGGAAAAAAGAAAAGGACTGAAGAATTGATAGAAAACAAGGAAGACCCATCTAAATCAACATTTTTCTCAGTCTCTCCCTATAGATTATTCTCCCCTGCCTTATACCTAATACACTTTCAATTGGTCTTTCAACCTGCTGTACTCCTTGCCTATGGCAAGGCTGCTCAACTTTTAAAAGAGAATCAATAGATTTAAGGTTGCAGTCTCTTCAATATCACATGGCAAATGTCATCACAAACAAATGTTAAACAGAATTCTCAAACTGACACAACACATTAAGATTCCTATCTTTGTACAGGTTATATACTCCAAAAGCCGTTAGATTTGGGGATTTTTTTTTTTTTTTAAGTATGTATGTGGTAGGGCTGGCCAACTAGCTCAGCAGATTAAAGTGCCAGCAAGCAGGCATAGGGGACAAAGGTTCGATCCTCAGGCCTGCCACGCTGGTGCTAGCCCCGGCCCCAGGGCACACTGAGATGGTGACTGAGACTGGACTTGGTGACACGCACCTGTAATCCCAGCTTTTGGGAGGCTGTAAACAGGCAGTTCACTACGAGTCCCATCTAGTAGTGAGACCCTGAACATCCTGTAGACCCTTCCCTAAAATACAGTAAAAAAAAAATGTGTGTGTGGTAAGCATTGAAGCTAGCACCTGACACATACTAAGACGCACACACACTAAAACTGGGCTTCACCCCTAGACTTAAATATCAATTTCATCAGGTATAAAAATTTAGATGTAAAGCTACCTGGATCCAAGTAACATAAACATGGGAGGGAGCCAGACATACACGAAAGTTAGGTTAAGATTTTCTTTTCCCCAGACTTAGCGAATACTAATAAAGATGCTCTAGGGTCGTGTTTGTAAAGGAACCAGGGTATCATTAGAGCAAAACTACAGAAAGGTTAACAAAAGATAGTTATGGCTATTGCTCTTAGTATTACTCTAGCAATGACCACTTGTATAAAAGGCTAAAAGTCAGTCAAGAAGCAAATCCTGCTGCAACTTATTACCATGTTGTATTTTTAGAGTTTGTTTGAGACAGGGCCTCACTGTACAGTTCAGGCTAAACTTGAACTCACTTTGTAGCCTAGGCTGGTCTCAAACTTGCGAACATACTCCTGCCTCAGCTTCCCAAGTGCTAGGATTACAGGTGTATACCACCACGCTCAACCTATATGATGTGTTTTTATCTTTATGGTCTTTTAGATCAATTTATCAATAAAAACATCAGAATGAAGGGCCTGCTAGTAATTTATAGTTCAGCAGACTAAGCACCTACTTAGGCAAGCGCAGGGACTGGGGTTCAATCCCTGCCACCATATGTTGCATTGGCCCTGCCTCTGGCACAGTGAGCTGTGACAGAGACCGGAAGTGGTGATGCATGCCTGTAACCCCAGCACTGGGGAGCCTGAAAACAGGAGGATCACTGCAAGTCTAAGTTGCGTAGTGAGACCCTGTACCAATTTTTTTTTTTTCCTGGAACCGGGGATTGAACTCAGGCCCTTGCGCTTGCCAGGGAAGCCCTTATTTATTCCACTGAACCATCTCCCCGGCCCCTTTAACTACAGTAATTAAAACATGAGCTCTTAATTCACAATAATAACCCGTGACTATTTGTTTATCTTTGTAATGGTAATACGACTAGTTACTTATGTTTCCTGTTATGAATGACATATTAAATACCTATTAATATCTACATGCTTCTTAGCAGTTAGCCTCTAATAGTAATTTTGGCACAATTATATTGTCTAACATTATAAGAACATGTTTTCTAATCTTGTGTCCATAATCATAATCTGATTCCATTTTATCCTTTTCTTTTAAAAAGATGTCTAAAAAACTGTTTTAAAGGTATACAGAATTTTTTTTTTCTTTTTTGTGGTACCGCAGATTGAACTCAGAGGACCCTGCACTTGCCAGGCAAGCATTTATTCTACTACGCTATCTCCCCAGCCCCTATACAGAGTTTTGTTTTTTTTTTAATTTTTATTTTGCGGAACCGGGGATTGAACTCAGGCCCTTGCGCTTGCCAGGGAGGCGCTTATACCCCTGAGCCATCTCCCCTGCCCCCTATACAGAATTATTAACAAATACTTCTTAAAGTCTTTAGTTCCAAAACAGGTAAAATCTTCCACCGAATACATACAGTATTGTATTAATGTCACTTAATTTTTTTTAATTAATATTTATTTATTTTTATTTATTACATTTATTTATTGTGTGTGTGTGTGTGGCCAGCTCAGCCCACCAGGGGGCGGGTCTGGCTGGCATGTGGTGCTGGGGATCGAACCGCGGTCCCTGTGCTTTGCCAAGCTTGTTTCAAGTAGGTGCTTTAGACCACTGAGCCATCTCTCCAGCCCCTGTCACTTAATTTTTTATAAGCAATAATCCCATATCCTGTGCCAAAATCTGTTCATAGTCCCTACAACATAATTTCAGGATCAATAAAGTTAGAATGCTCTGACTTGAATTTGTTTCAATCTTCAATAGGAACATTTACAAGACAGACTTTTCTTCTCATCATAAAGAAAACATTAAGTTGGGCACAGTGGCACATACTTGTAATCCCGTACTTGAAAAGGGATACAGGGAGGCCAGCCTGGACAATTTCTTGAAATCCTGTCTTCAAAATAAAAATACTTTTTAAAAGGGGTGGTGGCTGAGGATGTTGTGCAAAGGTAGAGTACTTGGCTAGCACGTGTGAGGCCCCAAGTTCAACCTCTAGTACTACAATGAAAGGAAGGATGGATGGATGGACAGACGGATGGTGTGTTTACATCTTACTACATCTTATTATGTATACAGATTGCACATTTAAAAGATAAAAAGATATAAAAACTGTACTTAGTATTCTAGACTTAATAAAGCTAACAAAGTAGATTCTGAAGAAAAGCCTTTCAAATGGTGTCCCAAACCTGAGTAATTCAAATACCTGAAATGCTAGCTGAGGCTTTATAGCAAAAAAATACACCTTCATTTCCATTCACTAATAAAAACAATGGCGGGGCACAATAGCATATGCTTATAATCTGAGCACGTAAGAGGCTGAGGCAGGACGATTGCCACAAGATCTAGACCAGCCTGGAATACACACTGAGTTCAAGGCCAGCCTGAAATACATAGAAAGATTCCATCTTTTTTAAATATTCATTCATTCATTTATTTATTTGGTACCAGGTTTCCCTACACAGCTCAGACTCATAGTGATCCTATCTCAGCCTCCCCAACGCTGGGATTACAGGCGTGTGCCACAATGCCTGGTTTCTGGTGACTGGCTTGTCAAGGGACCAACAAGCAAATCCGGGTCCTGGCACTTGCCAGGCAGGTACTTAGACAGCTTGAGTTATCTCCCTGGTTCAAAAAGACTCCATCTCAAGAAAAAAAAAAAATTTAATAATTTCTTAGACTATGATTCATAAAAGTAGAGACATACATTCTAAGCAGTGGGAACCAATGAAATATCTACAGACAATGTAATACCAATTGCCTTAAAATTCTGATCACATAAAATTTATAAACTATGTTTGTAAATAAAAGCATTCCAACAGGCCACAGAAAATAGGAATTAGCTGGCAATCTCTTGAAAGAAACTACAAAGTTATAGAACACCAGATATAAATCTTTTAAGTGTTTCTTAAAACTTTAGACAACAAAATCTTTAGCATATAACATGTAGAAAATGCTACACAATGTAAGATTAAACATGAACAGTAAGAATGAATCACTGGGGCTGGTGAGATGGCTCAGTGGTCTAAAGCACCTACCTAAAATAAGCTAAGCAAAGTACAGGGACCGCGGTTCAATCCCCCAGCACCACATGCCAGCCAGCCCCGCCCCCTGGTGGGCTGAGCTGGCCACACACACAAATAAATAATTTAAAAAAAAAAAAAAGAATGAATCACTGCTCTCCAGCCCTTCCCTTATCAGCTGAACACTCAACAAGTACAAACCTAAAGGGCACTTACCTTAAGAGGCTGGGGGCCTCTCAATCCTGTCTGTCCTCCCATCTGGGGTGAGCCCTGTTGTAGTGGCTCTGTCAATAAGTTGCCAGCATTTCCCATGCCAGGGTTTGGATACTGCATATTGGGTCGTCCTCGGCCTGCTCCAATTGAACCGTTCATGACTTGGCCTGGCATTAGTCCCTGTCCATTGCCTGCGGCCAACATTCCAGGATTCATGCCAGCATTCATCCCTGTGCTCATTCCCATGGCAGGTTGATTTACTGGGCTGTTCATCATACCTGCTGTGGACTGCGTGGGACCCTGATTTGGTCCACTAGTGCCCATCCCCATGTTGGGAGAAGTCAAGCCTGCCTGTGCCATTGGGCTTTTGACTATGCTGTTTATCAAACCTAATCCAGGACTGTTCTGTTGAGCCTGGCTGGCCATAACTTGGCCTGGGCCACCAACCCCCATATTGAGGTTAGGGGAACTCCCAGACCGTAGTAATTCTGATAGCTGTTTATGTTTAGAGGCTGCATCTTGTGCCATGCCAAGATTTGTCTGAAGCTGACTAATATCACCACCGTTGGTTAGTCCCAATTCTGTAGAGTTGATTAATTCATCTGGTAAGTCATGCTCCAGGTCAAACAAAGAGCCAAAATCTAAAAACAAAGAGGAAAATAAAGGTTAAAGTTGGATACAACCAAAATCAGAAACTAGTCTATCACATTAATTCAAATATTTGCAGGCTGGCCAGCTAGCTCAGTGAATTAAAGCACCTGCTTAGGCAGATGCAAGGACTGGAGTTTTATCTCTGGTATGGCTGTGCTGGGCCCCACCCCCAGGGCACATCGAGAGGGTGACTGACACTGGGTTTGGTGGCATCACACCTGTACACCCAGCACTTGGGAGGTTGAAGACAGGAGAATCACTGAGTCCCATCTGTGTAGTGAGATCCTATAGACTCTGTACTAAATACATAAAAATAATAAAGTATTATTTGCAAACCTTAATGAAACATTACCGACTTACTTGTACTGCAGATCAGCTGTTTGTAAAATGAAACCCACAAATTCAGCATGAGCTCCAGGAAGGCAGGGAATTACTATCTCTTCCTCAAAGCAATGCCTCAACTAGTGAGGGAATTTGTCTTTTATCAGACTCAGAGCCCACAAAAGTTTTCTTGAACCAAATTCCAGCTCTAACAGGGTACTCTGGCCCCTCAACATACAAACCACCCCTACTAGCCAAGAAATTAGACTGACCCCTGGGTCCTTCAACATTGGCACGAATTATAGCATTCTGGACTGGTTAGTTTTGTTCTATTTTCGTGATCCAGACTTAAACAAGTATAAAAACACATTTTTAGGGCCAGGGAGATAGCTCAGTAGAACAAGTGCTTGCCTGGCAAGCCCAAGGTCCTGAGCTCAATCCCCAGCACTGCAAAACAACAACAAAAACCAACACATTTTTAAATAATAATCCAGACACTATAAATGCAATGAATGAGTGATATTAAGAGATAATATTGGGCCGGGGAGATGGCTCAGTGGAATAAGTGCTTCCCTGGCAAGCACAAGGGCCTGAGTTCAATCCCCAGTTCCGCAAAAAAAAAAAAAAAGAGAGAGATAATATTACAGCAGAAAAAACAAAAAAGCTTTGGTAAGTGGAGAGAAGGATGGAGGAAAATGAATAAAGATATGTTATGTACAAGTTAAAAAAAAAAAAACAAAACGGGCCAGGAAGATAGCTCAGTAGAATAAGCGTGTGCCTGGCAAGTGCAAGGACCTGAGCTCAATCCCCAGTTCCAGGAAAAAAAAAAAAAAAAAAAGTTAAAAAAGCAACTGGGTATGGTGGTTCATGTCTTTAATTCCAGCACTCCAGCCAATTGATAGCACCATTCACAAAACAACATTCACACAAAAAACCCTGAAAAAACATTTTAATTTATTGTATAGTACCACAGAGACACACTTTAATGCAGGGCTAGGTGACTCCTAATTAGAATTTGAAGATGGTACTATTTTCAAAGTCTGAAGCAGAAGGACTGCCTCAAGTTTGAGGACATAGCAGCACTGACTGTCTCAAAAAACATTATAAAACATGATGGCATTCAATATGTTTTAAAATCATTTTTCACAGCTACATACTTCTCTAGGGATGGGCATCAGGGATTGCTATTCCAAACAGGTATCAATCACCTTGAAAGAGCCCAAATGAGTCACTAGCCCAATCCCCAACAGGAAGAGACCTTGTCCCGTATTCATGCCTGCCTGCTATGTGACTTGCTTCCCCTTTGGTCCTGGACTTAATTTTACCTGAGCAATGGTGCTTGTAATCTCATTGGTTGACCATAGTTTTGTCCCACCTCAAGCCCACCTAAGCAAGTTACCATGTCTTCACCATCTTAGACCCGCCTCACTGCATGGTTTTCCTGGAAGAGACACTTCCTGGGGACAACCTGCTCAGGCCCCCCTCCTGTCCCTCTCTTGGACAGGAGCTTTCTTTCCCTCACTAAATATATTCTTTTTTTTTGGCAGAACTGGGCATTGAACTCAAACCCTTGCACTTGCCAGGGAAGTGCTTATTCTACTGAGCCATCTCCCCAGCCCCAATAAATATATTCTGCTCGCTTTAAAAAAAAAAATAATTTTTACTAAAATACACTGACAGGGTGGCCTGCCAGTTAGCTCAGCTGTTTAAGCGCTTGCTCATTCAAATGCAGTCAGGCGCTAGGGACCACAGTTCAATCTCCAGCTCCACAAGCCTCACCAGTCTGGCCTTTAAGGTAGCCTGAGCCAGCAAAAAACAACAAAAAAAACCCACCTTCTAAGATACACTGACAAATTTCTGGTGAAATAATGTTGTAGAATTTGCCTTAAAATATTACAGCAATGACCAGCGAGATAGCCCAGTGGACTAAGTGTCTGCTTAGGCAAGTGCAGGGACCAGGGTTCAATTCCTGGTACTACACGCCGTACCAGCTCTGACCCCAAGTAAACGAGTCTGAGTGTGGTGGCACATGCCTGTAAATCCCTGCAATCCCAGCTGCTAGCAAGGCTAAAAACAGGAGGATCACTAAAAGTCTGAGCTGTGTAGTGAGACCCTGTACAAAAAAAAAAAAAACAAAAAACAAACTCCAGCAGAGGTTGAGGGAAAAAGGCTCTCTAAATTTAAGACCAGCCTGGGTAAAATAGACCCCTCCGTCTCAAAAAAGAAAAAGTCTTGGGTCAGGGAGATAGCTCAGCAGCGTAAGTGCCTGCCTGGTAAGATAAGGTTCTGAGTTTGATCCCTGGTACCAAAAACAAACAAAGTCTTAAAATACTCCAGTAGAAAGGAAGAAGAGGTGAAAATATACTAAAATACTAGTAATTTAAAGCTCAGTAAAGGCACCTAGAAGTTTTTTTTATTTAAGCTTCTCATTTATAAAAATGAAAATGTGCTAGGAACAATGGTGCAGGCCTATTATTCCAGCACTCAGGAGGCTGAGATAGGAAGATCCCCAGGAATTTCAGGGTAGCCTGCTGGGCTACATAATGAGTTCGAGATTTATCTAAATTTAGATGAATTGTCTCAAAAAAAAACCCAAAAATTATTTTTTAAAAAGGTGATACAGATATCTGAGTACGTTGGTGTGTACCTGTAATCCCTGCACTTGGGAGGCTGAGGCACGAGGAACACAGTATCTTTGGGGCCAGCCTCGGCTAAGAGCAAGAATGGGGGTGGGGGGGGCTAAGCACTTTATTGCTATTAAATAAAATTAATCCTTAGCTAATCTTTTCTACAAAGAAAACATATATAAAATTGTTTTACAGCTATGTCCTACATTAAACTTGCAAGAAAAAAAAGACTTTTACACAAAAACTCTGAAGTATAAAGCAAAGAATACTCTGAAGTCTACACATGACTACAATAAAAGAAAATTGAAGTGAATCTTTTTTTGTTTTTGAATCTCCTTTATGAACTTGGAGGCAAGAATTCTTTTAATTTTGAGACAGGGTCTCACTATGCAGTTTCGGTTGGCCTTGTAGCCCCCAGGCTGATGTTGAACTCAAAGAGATCCTCCTGGCTCAACCACAGAGTGCTGGGATTACAGATGTGTGCCACCACACCACCCGGTTCCGGGGCCGCATGCTGGGTGCCCGCATCAAGGGCCAAGATGGTGTGCCTGGGCATCCGGCACAGAGACCGTATGACATGAGGGCCAGGGACTGAACTTGGGTCCTTGTGCTTGCCAAGTAGGTGCTTATGCCTCTGAGCTATCTCTATGGCCCCAGAAGCTAGAATTCTTAAAAGGGCAAACAAAATTAATGGTTACCTTAAAAATGTAATCTAGGAGCCGGGGAGATGGCTCAGTAGAATAAGCACATGCCTGGTAAGCGTAAGTGCCTGAGTTTAATCTCCAGTTCCGCCAAAAAAAAAAGTAATCTAGTAATCAAATTGGGATTATCCCAGGAATCCAGGACACATTAAAAAAGTATAGCTATCATTCACTATAAGTTATAGGAAATATGAGTCACCTCAATGACTAAGAAAAGCAACTAATAAAATTTACTATCCAATAAAATTATAAAAAACTATGGAAACTGAGAAACTGAAGAGACTTTATATTGATACTTTTTCCAAAACCTAAAAGATGTTATCAAGTACAAATAGTGGACCAGCATTTTTTGTCTCTTCTGTATCACAGCCATTTTTACTCAATATTGTATGATACCCAAGCTAGAGCAGTAGTATCAGAAAATTCTTTAAAAAAAGAGAGAAACAAACCTTATCTGCAGATAACTGTCATGTAAAAGCAAACATGAGAATTATTTCATTGGGTCTACATAAATACAATTATTTGACAACTAAAAGATCCTAGAGCTGGGTATGGTGGCGCATGCCTTTAATGCCAGCACTTGGGAGCCTAAAGCAGGAGGACTGCTGGAAGTTTGAGGCCTGCTTTGTCTACACAACGAGTTCAATTCAATTCAATTTGAGTTGCACAAAAAGATCTTGTCTCGCCAGGGAGATGGCTCAGTGGAATAAGTGCTTCCCTGGCAAGCACAAGGGCCTGAGTTCAATCCCCAGTTCCATAAAAAAAAAAAAAAAAAAAAAGATCCTGTCTCAAAAAAAATCAGAAAGGGCTGGTGAGATGGCTCAGTGGTCTAAAGCACCTACTTAGAACAAGCTTAGCAAAGCAAAGGGACCGCGGTTCAATCCCCCAGCACCACATGCCAGCCAGCCTCGCCCCCTGGTGGGCTGAGCTGGACACACACACACACACACAAATAAATAAAATTTTAAAAAAAGAAAAAGAAAGTGAGACCTTAAAAAAAAAAAAAATCAGAAAAAGGGAAGGAGGGAAAAAAAAAAAAAAGATTCAAGACAGCCAAATGCTATGATGCACACCTGTAATCCCAGCAATGCAGGAGGCCATGCCAGTGACTAATAAGACCCTTTTCCTAAATGAAATAAAATGGTAAGGGTTGAAGATGTACTCTGGGTTCAATGTGCACGCGCGTGCGCGCGCGAGCACACACACACACACACACACACAGCTCAGAACACCACCTGGCACATTAAATACAGCAAATAACTTGTGATCAGTCAATGAACTCATTACTCTTATTAGGAGTCAAGCTGGTTTATCACACAGCAAGCATTTATCAAGCACTTT